CCAGTTCTGACCCTACAAAATCCAGGAACTGTCTATTGAGTTGCGTGATTTTTCCCACCAATCATATGATTTTATTGCTCGTTGAAGTTTTATTGTGACTTATTGCAGGGTGTACAAGTGTTGTTTTCTACAATGAAAACTATTTCCATGACTTGGAAGTCATGATTTTATTTATATTCTCAACATAATTTTTTATAGCTCACACTAGGTTTTTAGACTTCCATTATGAGTCTAGTTTCTAATGAAATTTATTTGATAGAGAAATATCTATAGTAAAATAGGAATACAAAATTTGGATTGAAGAGAGGTCATCCAGAATTTTCTGCAGTTTGGACAAATATCCAATCCAACCCACGCTAAAAAAACACACACAAAAAAAGAAAAAAAAAAAAAGAATAAGTCACTTGTCCTATTTTTAGTATAACACTAGTTCATATAGTGGATGTCTGAACTTACTTGGCTCGTTTTTTTTTTTGGCCAAAAGAATGTTAATATATTGAACACTTGATTTCAGTGCTTATGCAAAAACTTATTGGTCTAAACATCCAACCGAAGTCGTCTTTCACTTGACCCGGTTCGGATGTTGGACGTCCAAACTGGGGTTAATATGACAATAAATAAGTAAAGAGGTACTTCGGCTTAAAATATAAAATATACAGAACTTTTTTTAAATGTCAATATTACACTGAATTTTTCAATATCTCTTACTAAACTTGTAACTTTTCTAGTTCTTGATGGTTATCTGAACTTTTACGGTAGGATTCAAGGGATTAGGCTCTTTCTTAGTAAGCACACGATGCATGGCGTGTGAAAGTCTTGATGCATTTTTTAATTAAGATGTAAAAGATAGTATCTTTGATTTTTATTGAGGTTAGACTATTCGTCTTTAATTTTGGGGTGACATATTATTAATATTAAATAATACTAATGGAAAAAGATGTGAAAATTTAAAATAATTAAGGGAAAGTTTGGGATAGGCACAAAAGACGTCGTCAAAGTCTATCCTCGTGCTTGAAATTAGTTATTGACCTAAGTTTTTTAATGAGTAACACCCACACTTATATCATCTCTTTTTTGGGTGCAATAATTTATTTTTCATTTATTTTCATAAGAAAAATTTCTACAATATTTTATTATATTTTTGGAATTGAAAAATAGAAAAGATTTGTATGTGTCAATCTTAAACTATATAGTGGGGCGCAATTCAAAAACTCATAGGAAAGTGGATATAACAAGAAGGATTTTAAGTCTTAAAACTAACCCACCCAATTTTGAGATGGATCAAGAACTTTTGAATCATTGATTTAATTCCCATCCTATCGATGGCAAAAAAAAAAAAAGGACAAAAGAAGAAGAATAAACACGTGCCTGTGTCAAGAACGCCTACGATGATCCCGTCACCTGAGTTGGCCTTATGAAGAAGGGTTGATGGTAACTTGGGGCTGAGGCCAAGGAAGTCCCAGCTTCTTGTTGTGTGTAGCTCGTACATGTGGTTTGGTATCACACGTATCACACCTTCAAAGCCTACATCATTCACATTTAAAATGCATGTACCATTTCAATAATAACAAAAATAATAATAACAATAACAATAACAATAATTTTCGATGGTCATATCAAAGTGTTCAAGAACACAAAGTCCAAATTTTCCTTTTACAAAAGTTCAAAGAAAATGATCATTCCTTGTATATGCTCTAGATGTCATTCATATATTGGGATGGAAAAACATACAGAAGAGATCATTTACTTTTTATACAAAGAGATCATAAACACTTTTGTCCGTAAGATTTCAAATCAGGCGGTCGTAAGATTGTTATTGACTAGATAATTCTTGAACTTTGTGTGTAATGCCTAGAAGTAATTATGACCTCCTTTTATTCAGGGTCTTATTGAACTTTGTGTGTAATGCCTAGAAGTAATTATGACCTCCTTTTATTCAGGGTCTTATGGTATATGTGGGATAACCTTACCTACATGAAGGCACCATGGCCATTGGAACATCTTACATGGGCTTTATATTCTTAATTCAGAAAATTCTTGTTGTTGATTTATGTTCCTAAGAGTGAAACCAGTGTTAAAAAAATTGAGTCAGCCAAGGTATTCGAGATCTGGCCGAGGCGAGTTATATTTAAAGTTTAAACATATTGTGTATAACTAACTCGCCTCGGTCCATGGCCGAGGCCGAGTTACTCGGATGGGTCCGAGTTGGCTCGTTCGAGTTTTAAAACTATAAGTGAAACATAATAACTGCTGTTAGTACTGATAAATTCCGTTTTCTCCAACGATCCTAAATAAAATTATTTCATCACTTATATTTACCTGAAAGGATCTTTGCTTGATTTTCTGTTAGCCTTGCAGCAAAGCCTGAAAAGCCATGTCTGTAGCTGTACACCATTGACTCCCGAGCTGCTTCTTCGCTACAAAAATATTAAGCGGTAACAACTTTTACATGGAAATATTATCAGGTTAAATTTTATGTTCATTTTAAGTTCGATTCCTACCCCTGAACTGCAAAAGGGAAAAAGAAAAAAGAAAAATCTGGGCAAAGGCAAAGTCGGCAATTTGAAGACACACCTGCCGAGCAGTGTTGTGAGTACGCTATGGTGCAAGTCCCGGACAACATCGGGATCTTCATGGTGCTTCTCTCCCATGTAGACAATGTGCACCTAAAACACCCTCTGTGATTACTTAGCTGTGTTATCTAAACTTAATCCTCACTACTACGGAAAATTTGTAAAGGGATTCTTAAGCCAAGCCATTTCTGTGTGTTGTCTAAGCAGAGTAGTGGCTGATTCATATCTCTGGTTATGACTGGAAATTGGATCGCCCATTGTGCATCTTGCGGTTCTCAAATTAAAAGCCCTGTGTGCTTGTTTGTGTATGTGGTCATATGATCGTGATCGATCAGAACTGTACATAAATTTTTTTTCAAAAAAACATATTTCTCTCAAAAATAAGAGACCCCTGTTTCTGCAAATTTGAAAATTATAAGTCCGAAACAACGGGGGTTCAAGTTGATAGCTCGTGTTGAAGGCACCCAAATTGCAAGCATGAGGTTGTGGGCTCTTCAAACCCAGCCAAATTACCAAAACTGAAAAATAGAAAGGACTATGATCCTTATGTATAATACTTTATCGGAAAATGAAATTACAGTCCATAAATAAGTAAATAAATACAAAAATCGCT